AATTGTTATCGTATCATAACAAATTGAACTGAGAGGTTAAATTATGTTTTCAAGCAGGCGCCCTAAAGAAATTTAAACTGAGGTTACCTATGATCATACGATAAAAAATAAATCTGCAGACTATATGGGATGAAAAGATCTAGTACAAAAGTCGCGCAGGGAATTTCTTGGCAATAGGTAAAAATAGCCGGATAATTAACTTCGCTGGAACAATGTTTAAAGAGCTCACTAATGTAAATGATTAATTTCTACTTAAGTAGTTAGAAATCACCGCAGCTTCGTTCCCTACACCTAAATGTTACTTATGCAACTTGTTTACCGTGGCACAGATCAGAGCTATGCTGAAATGATTCCTCCTCCTCGTGATTCAGTGCAAGATTTCTCTTAACGAATGCTACAAGATGTATAGCGCTACTAATGCGGGAATTGGTAACCGGAAGATTTTCGCCTTTACACTCGACTACATGGTAAACAACTTTCTTGTTTATCTAAATGCCAGTCAGTGAAATAATCAACATCGACCTGTGGACGAACGATGCGTTGGCAAGTGGTCCTTTACTCCAGTTACAAATAGAACTCGGTACTTTTCTAATCAATGAGTGCCACAGTACTGTTAACAGCACTGCTGACAGTACTGGTATCGGCATTTCCAGGTGAGTGTCGAAAAAGGCGATTGTGTCTCAGCTTACGCGATGTTTAGCCTCGACTGATGTACTGTCATCATCGGATGCCTGCGGGAAGCCGGCAATCATGCCGGCCGTTCGAAGGATCATCGGTGGACATGAAGCGATTCCGCACAGTTGGCCATGGCAGGCGGCGTTGCACTGGAAAGTGGGTTTTTTCGTTGAACCGTTTTGTGGTGGTAGCCTGATCGCGGACCAATGGGTGCTAACCGCTGCCCACTGCGTCGTCGGACGGACCAATCCGCGTCTGTATCACGTGCGACTTGGTCAGTTCAAAATCGGGTCGCGAGACTCGAAACGTGTGGACATCGCCTCGGTTCACATCCATCCGCATTACGACCCAAATAGCAAGCGAAACGACATCGCTATTCTTAAGGTATCGTTATTTGTCATTTTGGAG